CATTTATTATTCTTTTGCTCCTTCTGTTCTTTCCTCCTCCCTCCCTCCTTTCTTTTTTGTTCTCTTCCTCCTCTTTTACATTCTTCTCTCTCTCCACTCTCTGAAATTTCAGCCTGATCAAAGGTAGTAGAAGTCATATGTAGAAATAGGACAATCATGGTGAAGTGAGAGTAGTAAAGAAGGTCAGTTCAATTTTAATTTGAGGTCATTGTGAGATTCCTGAAAGGGAGACCTTCCTTCAATTGTGAGCATAGAGCTGGAGCGCAGGAGTGATACCAGGCCTGTGTGCCACCTTATGGCATTAGAGTGAGAAATGCCCATAGTCGTCCCGAAGTCCAGAATGATGAGGCTAAGCATGTCTGTGGACTGAGAAAGTAGGGGGCGAAGAGAGGACTCAAGAAGAGTCAGTTGGTCAATAATGAAAATATGATAGACACAAAAGTTTTTAATTCAAGGGACAGTAGAGAATTAACAAACTTATTGATAAAGTAAACTAATTTGTAATACTTAACATTTTGATCAGTGTTCTGAGCATTTGCAAAGGGCTTTTCTCTTTTGCAAGATCCATGCATATTGGCATTGTGAAACAAATCAAACACTGAGCCACTAGAAAACGTCTGATAAATGACAGAGTGTTGAGTAATGCGTTCCTTTGGAATCAGCACTAGGTTTATACCACTTATTTCTCAGGATATATTATCTGTAAATAGTCAGATATATAGGTAATATAATTATAATGGAGCAACTTGGAATTAAACCCAGAGAAAACACCAAGTTTACATAATAGTGCTAACCCTGGTCTTTACTACTGTATTGTTCATACCAAAGTGTAATGATATTACAAGAAAATGAAAGAATACAGTTCATTTAAAAAGAGCATGCTATAATTGCTTTTCTTCAGTAGTAGAAAGAAAGGCATAATTGACTAGGGTTAACATATACAAAGCATGATTATGGAAGAACACAGCTATTAATCTTCTCTTTTAGTGATTGGCAATATAAGAGCAATTATCCTGGTTCTAGAAAATAGATTAATCAGAAGTACTATAAAAGCATTTTTTAAGAAATCTTTTTTCTTTGAGATATGAACAACTTTAATGAACCTAAGTGTTTGATGTCTGCAGGTTTTAAAGCATTAGAAGACTGATGTCACAAGTTATAATACAGAACTGTTGGGTGAAACTTAGTTATATTTTTATACATTATTTAATACTTTCTTAACTGTAAGAAAGCTGGCCTTCTTAGGTTTCCAGTCCTTCCTAAGACTTCTGTGAAGGAAGATATTACAGGCAGATTTACAAGACCTTCCCTTTTTTGAGAGCTGCTTCTATGCAAAACAAGGACTTGGGCAAGGAGAGCCTAGTATTTGAGATTGGCAAGTCGTGACTAATAGACTGTTTTGTTAGGTCATCATATTCTCTACTTTGTTATTAATAGCTCCATCTTTGCAAGTTCGTTCTGAATACTGCCAAACAAGGAAAACATCTTTTATGGCTGAATCCCTACAGCAGTTGGTTAATAGCTTTCTTGTGGCAGTTGTATTTTATTTTATCTATTATTTTTACTGTATTTGTTTAAAGTATAAACTCCTAGAGAACCATAACTCTTTAGCTATTGAAGTAGGGCTTGCCGTATAATATGCGTAGAAAAAATGTAGTCAATAAGGTGATCTTGGGCCATTCAGGTCAACATTGTTAAAAGCCAGTATCTTATTATTCCTTTAGACAAATGTTTATTAGAGCAAATCTCTGTAACATGAGTTTGATGATTTGCAGGACCAAGACAGCCATTTTCCATGGATTTTATTCCAAACTATAAGGCCTTTAACAGAAGAAAAAAATAGAAGCTATTCTAGAGAAGATTATCCTGGAATTGTGATTTTTTTACCTCTCTTGAGTTAACTGCCTTTTTGAGATCTCAGATAAACTATGCAATACTTACAGGTCCTTGTCTCTACGATATTTTTCCCAATTTGAATAGGTTCTCAGAATCCTAACGGTCTCAAGTTAAGACTTCTCCTGGAGACAACAGGTGGTGTGGTGGTCAATGTGCTGGACTCCCACATGCTGACCATGGTTTGAGTCCCAGACCTGGCAGCTTGCTTTCTCACTTTCCCTCTCTCTCTTTCTCTCTCTCTCTCTCTCTGAGCACATGTTTCCTATAGCAAAGTTTTAAATAATAATAATAATAAAATTACAAAATTATTTTTTTAATTCTCTAGCCTAGAGGATTCTTGATGTAATCTCTGTGTCATGAAGAGGAGGAAAATTAAAATGCATTTTCTGTATTAAATATTTGTCAAGTCAGTGAAATAGTTTGATAATTAAAGTAGCAAAAATACTCTGTGTAATAGAAACTAGGGGTGACCCCAGACCTGATGCTCTCCTGGGTGTATGAATGTTAATTTCTCGTGGGAGCACATACCCATCTCATAATGGAAGTGCAAAGAACATCTTGATCCAGGTACAGCTGATAGCAAACTGAACTGCACTTCTGAAAGTCATGTGACCCACTACAGATTAGGATCCCTACATCAGCCTGAAAAACAAGCCAGTTGAGCCCAAGATCCTAATAGATTGGAGGACTTGCAAGGGGAAGTCAGGATCTGATAAAATCTTATTGAAGGTCTCTCTCACATATGCTCTACCATAAATTTTAAAGAATAGTAAAAAAGAGAAAATCCTGTTTACCTTAGTAGAAATTACTTTTAAGCATTGCGTAAAGTGAGGCACATTACTGACTGGAGGGAGAGCAATGTGGGTTTAAAAGGGCCCTATGAGGGATCTTTATGGTATTGGAACTGGTCTTGACTGTGGTGGTGGATTCGTGAACGTGCGTAGCTTATGAATTATATAGAATGTAATACACTCAAATTAGTATCCATAAAACCAAGGAAATCTAAATGAGATAAATTATTGTACCAAAGCCAATACCCTGGTTGTGATTTGACTATAATTTAGTAAAACATTACCATTGAGGGAATGTACAACTTTATATATAAATCAGAAATTATGTGTTTTTTATAAACAGAGTAGCTTATGACATAGCCCCATTTCTCCCTCCTGTGCCACCTCTTTTAGTATGCCATTTCCAAAACCACCTGTGTCTAATCTCACTTCCTCACTTCCATACCTTTGGTGTGCTCTTACTAGAACATCTTATCCTTTCTTGACTCTTCATATAAACTTTTAAACCACCATCTTATTAACCTGGTTTGCTTCTACTCATCTTTTTCAGGACATTGGGTCATTTTTTATTTTATTTTATTCTTTTTGTTGTTAGTTTTTTGTTTTTGTTTTTGTTTTTTTGTGGTTTTTTTTTTTGCAGGGGGAACTTTCCAAAAATGTAACACGGTCAGTTTGTAGTTAATCAGAAAATGGGCATATTATTCTGTATTTTCTTGGGCATTTGATGTCATACTCAGTACTAATTCAGTGTTTACATAGACCTTTTCTAAAGTATGATTGTGGTATGGTCCTGACTTCTTAATGATGGGAATGAGAGTGCGGAAGGAATTAAAGGCAAGAGAAATTTAGCATCCTCAATTTAGCATTGTTTATAATGAACTAATAAAGGAAAAGTGGAAGAAGTAATTGGAGGAAACATCATAATGAAAGTTAAAACAAGTTATAGAAAGTTAAGGTTTGGGGTCACCATTTAATGTAGTGATTAAGGCACTAGACTCCCACATGGCTGACTATGGTTCAAGTCCTGGACCCTGCGGCTTGAAAATCATGCCAGGTGAGGGTGCTGTGTGTCCAAAATCCCAGGAGGAGGATGGAAGAGAAGGGATTATAACATGGCCATCCACAGTGATAAGTAATTTCTCACATTCTTTCTCTCTGTCTCCATCTCTCTCTGGCTAGCGTACACACCTAAGGCAAAATATCTTTTTTAAAAAGCAGAAAAAGTAAGTTAAAGATTTCTTCAGTGCAGAGAAAGTAATTTTCCATGTAAATGGAGGTTGTCTAAAAAAATGATGATAGCATACTTTTTTTGCTTTCAATCTAATTTAGAACAAGGGAATAGAATTCTAATGTGCTAGTCTGTAAAAGAGTGGAAGGATTTTGTAATATGAGTCCATTGGTTCTAGAATGAAGGGTATATGAATACTTAAATGGTAGAGAGTTATAGCAATCAATCAAATTGTATGTTATAGTTAAGCACTGATATAAAATTATTATTAAAATAAAGGGAATATTTTGCAAAAATACAAAGAAAGAAGTGAAATGTTAGTCAGTATCTTGCCACTAGAAATGTACGAAGGAAATCTAAAAGGACAAAAGAAGTTTGTTTATCTGGAATTAGGACAGAAGGATGGACCGAATAACCAGTAAAAATTTAATGAAACCTCAAGCAAACAAGGACTTCTGGTTGAGAGTTGTGTGGACTTGTTGGGCCAAGCCTTATAAATGGATTCCTTGGTAAACCAAGCCATTAAATTCTAGAGATGTAGAACTTTTTTTGTGACTAGAACCCAGTGAAAACATATCTAAGAAATTCAGTTGGGCTACCAGCCTAATTAAACAACCTCCTTTGTTCTCTTTGCAATAGGTAGTTGTCTCAGTCTGTTTTTGCATTGCTAACAGAAATTTCTGAGCCTGGATACTTTTATAAGTAAAATATAAGTTTATTTACAAACTCATAATTCTGTTGACTGGCAAGTCCAAAGTTCTAGGACTGGAGCATGACTGACAGAGCACAGAGGAGGGAGGGCAAGTGGAGAGAGAAAGAGAGAGCGAGCGAGAGAGAGCACACACGAGCCTCCAAGATGCAATCACTGTAAACCAATCACCACCCACTAGGCCTTACCTGGGACACCATGAAGGAATTTAGTTTTCTCTTAGTACCTTTCCAGTACAGACAATACATATCAAGTTCTAAACCATAGCAGTAGCCAAGAGAATTTATTAAACATTTCAGTTATTTCATTTTGCTTTAATCTATAGATCATTGTCAATAAATAATGACATGTGTGTAATTTCTGTTTTATTTGTTAGCTGGATAATGCAGATGAGCAAGCAGCCCAGATCAGAAGGGAACTTGATGGTCGGCTACAATTGGCAGAGAAAATGGCAAAGGTAAATTGTTAAATTGGACATGGTGACCTGCATTTGTTTCCTTGTCTCGATTTCTGTGAGCTCAAAAAATGTTTCATACAGGTAAAGAAAACCAGCATAATGTTTATCGTTTCTTCTCTGCGTGTATATCTCTTAATCTCAAATATCTGAATGTATATTATCTAACTAGAACATATTATCCATTTTACATATCAATCCTTAATGTGTGAAATACTTATTAAATTTATCAAACTGCAATATCTGAAAGGGTTTTAATGTTGCACTAAGCAAACTATAATCAGGAAGAAAAATTCCCTGTCTGTGAAATCATATAATATATTCCAAAGCATTCAAAACAATTCTTGGCACAGAGTGGTGTCAGCTAACATTTTATTGAATGATTAAATACATGAAAACTGTAATTTGAAGGATCTAGTATAGCATATGGGAGAAAACATGTATTTCATACAATATTGTGATCATTTTATTTGTGCAATCACCGTGTTTCTGTGAACAGAAATAAATTTCAAATGGAAGCCATGAGTTTGTTTGTTTTTTAATACTTAAGACTTTCAGAGAGACTGGAATTTAATTGTCTAAATCATCCTTTAGTGAATTGATGGTTAATTTACTTCAGTGCTATAAAAATGTTCATCTTTCCCAATAGGATTTCAGTTCTGCTGTTGATTGATCTAAGATTAAGATTTTCTCCCTTTTCTGCTAAGCAAAACTTTGAAAAGCTGATAGATAGTCTTTCTCTTAGATAGCATTATACATTAATATGCATGTGAGTACAGCCTATGTAGCCACCTACTCAAATCAAGAAAGTGAGTTTTCCTAGCACTCAAGAAGATACATCTCATACTGATTTTAATGATTAAATTATCTTTGTGCTTTTGCAAAAAAAAAAAACATTTACACTAATAAATATGTATGTCTTAAGGATGTTACACTATTAACCTAAATGTTTATTATTGAGTCATCAGAAAAGTTATGATGCCTATTTTCATAGAAAAACTTAGAAAAATACATCATGACTTTCTTGACACCCTTATAAATTACAAATTAGAGAAGATCAAGAAATTACAAAGTTGAGAAGATTGAGAAATTACACATAGAGAAATATTGGGAGAAACTGGCCAACAGGAATGACAGTAGGTTGTGAAGACCAACCCAGGAATGTAAGAGGAAGCCCAGATGAGTGAAGGCATGGGCACTATGAAATAGGTGTTAAGGGTTACATGTGCTCAGAGGGCAGTGGTTGAAAGGACAGCATGCCTTATTGTTGTCCTCTGGATATCTAGGGGACATCACATCATTCTAGAGATTCAGATGTGGAGTTCATAGTATATAAATAAAATGCTTTGAGCTTTGGAAACTTGAGAGAAAAAGAAATGCTTGTTCCAAAACCCTACTTTGTATTGAACCTGTTGGGAAAAGCATTTGCTTTTCTTAAAGACCTTAGGCTGAGAGAGAATTCAGACACGTAGATGTGCCTGACAGTGTGAAACTCACTGGACTGACAGGTGCTTAGCATGCGTTAGGTTGCTTGTATAAGGATTATAGCTGTACAGTCTGTGAGACTGTGGACGTTGACATGAGTTAAACTTGGTCCTCTGTGGGCTTGGCTGAATATTTAATGATGTGGTATAAAGTTTAAATGATTTTCTGGAATGGTGTTTCGAGTCCTGAAGTAGGTGGTTAGATTTCTCACCTCTCTCTCTCTCTCTCTCTCTCTCTGTCTCTCTCTCTCTCTGTCTCTCTCTCTCTCTCTCTGTGTATGTGTGTGTGTGTGTCTGTCTGTCTGTCTCTGGTGAGCATATGTGACTATAGCAAATTTTAAAAATAGTAATAAATAAAATAATAAAAATAATAAATTATTTCTGGAGAGTCGTAAGACAGGCAGGAAAGCCTTGATATATTCTCAAGTTCATGTCTGAGAAGAGTACATGTTAATAACCCCTAAGCTGACTCTGAAGAGCAAATCAGGGGTGAGCAGGTGGTGTGGTGGTTAAGGCACTGGATTCCTACATGATCTACCACAGTTTGAGTCCCAGACCTGGAGGCTTGAAAATCATGCCAGGTGCATGTGCATATATGCCCAAAATCCCAAGAGGAGAATAGATTGTGGCATGGCCATCCCTCTGGGGTGTGATTTATCACTTTCTGTTTGTCTCTCTTTGGTGAGTGCATACACCCTATAGCAAAAATCTCTAATAATAAATTAATAAATAAACCTTTAAAAAAAAGAAAAAGCAAAATTAGGGATGGAACACATGAAAGCTTCTCTTGAGGGGACCCCAGTAGTTTCATCAGAGATGTTGCTAAAGTGGAAGAAATATGGAAAAAATCAGTAAAGCTGATGGAGAAAAAAAAAAACTCTAAAAATAAGCTACCTTTTGGTAAAAATACTAACATAGAAGAAAAAAGAGGTTTAATTGCTTTTTATGTCAATTTCACCAAAACTGAAGCCATCTTAGTAAAATATTTATAAGGCTAATTACAGTTTCCTGAACACATTGCATTATATCCCTACAATAATCCTATGAACCCATGAGGGTGGATGATATCATGAATTTAATTTTACAGACAAGGAGATTGAGGCTTACAGAAGATTACTGACTTCATCAAGAGTACATAACAAGTATGTGGCTGAGGCAGGCCTCAAACTTATGCATCCACTCTAGAGCCTGAGCTCATACTCTTCCATCCTATTGCCTCTAGAGTCTGATACATCCAGAAATATGTTTTTTTACTAGTTGGCAATCAGAAACAACCTCTTACACCTTTCACAAAACAGCAGAATATAATAGCAATATGATAACTGGGCAGAAATCTCTTTTTCAAGGCATAGAAATCTTGACATTAATATTTTAACCGAGGGATAATGTGAAAATAGTGGGGAAAATGTAGATATGAGCACAGAAAGGACTGGAGTCAAATCCATCTATGTTGTAGATATACAAGAAGTTAATATATTCAAGTATCAATTTTTATTAATTATTTTATCACTATTTTTATTTTTTATGTGTGCAATAGAGCACATGCGCTCATTGAGAAAGAAAGAGGGAAAGTGAGAAAGCAAGCCACCAGGTCCAGGACTTGAACTGCAGTTGCCCCTGTAGGAGTCCAGTGCCTTAACCACACCACCTGCTGGCCCCAAGTCTCAATTTTTCTACATTCATTGAACAAATATTTATTGAATACCTACTAATGTAGACAAGTGCCGTCTTAGGCACTTGGGATAATCTAGGCAAATGTAGTTGTCTTGGGATGAAACAAGACACAGATACCTACCATGCCTTGGTGGAGTTTACATTTTATTTGGGAGAGTCCTATGATAAGCATTACACATGCCAAATAACTGAATTATAGGAGGTAATTAATGCTATTACAAAATAGATCAGACAAAATTGGATCAAAATTATAGAAGAGAGTGAGATGGCTACTATTTTTAGTCAGTTGTTCAGGCCAGACTAGTTTTTGACAATATTCTCTTTCCAGTTACTCAGGTCAAAAAACTTTGAATCATCTTTGACTCCTTTTTTTTTTATCTCATACCTCATGCAAAATTTAATATAAAATCCTTTTGTCCTTTCCTTCAAAATATTTCCAAATGTGACAGTTGTTGCCATCCTCCCACTTCCACTCTGGTCTGATCATCATTGCCTCTCACCTGGATACTCATTTCTGCCTTTTCAGTTGGTCTCCCACCTTCCTGCCTTTCTTCTATCGACACAGAGCTGATGATTCCCCATGGCGCTGAGAGCAAAACACAAAGTTTCTGCTGTGAATTTCGGAGTCCTTTGTGATCTGGTCTTTGTTAATTTGACTTTGTCCTTCACTGAATGCTTCACTTTTGCTCAGTCCACATCAGCTATGGTGACCTCTTTGCCCTTTTTACCCCTTTTGGCCTCAGAGTTTTTGCCATGACCTTTACCCCTGCTTGCAGTGATCATCTGCTGATGTTCATGTGACTTACTTCCTATATTAGGTTCTCCAGAGTCACAGAACTGGACATCAAAGGGATAGATAGCTAGGTAGTCAATAAATAGATATAATAAATACCTACATTTGACCCTTGAACAATGTGAGTTTGAACTGTGTGGGCTAACTTACACATAGAATGTTTTTTCAATAAATAAATTGGTGAATACAATGCAGTACTGTATATGTATTTTCTTTTTCTTATGATTTTCCTAATAGCATTTTTTCTCTAGCTTAATTGGAAGAATGCAGCATATAATATATATACAGAATATGCATTAATTATATTATTGGTAAGGCTTCCAGTCAACAGTAGGCTAATTGTAGGTAATTTTGGAGGAGTCAAAAGTCATATATGGATTTATGACATCATGGGGATTGACACTCTTATCTTCTGCATTGTCCAAGGATCAACTGTATATAGACATAATGAAATTGATAGTGTATACAAGGAAACTTCCAAAAGTTCGTGGGAAAAGTTAAATCAAAGTGTGAGTTTATTTTGGTTAAAAAAAAAAATTCCGAAATTCATGCAGATTTTCATAATATTTATCTACCATGAACTTTTTGTGGACCTTTGTATACATGCACTGTATGCATACATATGTGTATGTGGAGAAAGAGAGTTTGTTGGAAAGAGAGAGAACTGACTGATTCATTTCAAAGAATTGGCTTCTATGCTTGTGAGAGTTGGAAAGTCCAAAACCTATAAAGCAAGCTGGCAGATGGGAAATTCCAATAAGAGTCTAGAGTCCGAGATCTACAGGGCAGCTCAGCAGTCAGGAAACATGGGTGGAGTTTCTGTGTTACAGTCTTGAGGTGAAACTGATGCTGCTTTTAAAAAAAAAAAAAAAAAAAAAAAAAAAAACTTTTTAATTATTTTTTATTTATTTTACATTCATTCACTATATATCTTTACACATACAAAATGAATTTTCCCATCCTGGATGCACTGTATATTGACTTAATCCAAAATATTACAAAACATATTATCTGCAACAGACAATTTCTATTTTGTGTTTTAAAAATGTTTT